AAAAATAAAAGAGATCTAAAATTCAGTCATATTTGAAGCTTAAAAAAAACCCATTGGGGGGATATATCCCGCATCAGCCCCACTACACACGCTATTAAACGTGTAAACTACAAAATTATTTAGGTATTGTGTTTTCTTACACCAGCATGTGTTCAAATAGTCCGTTTTACTAACTTAGGACATAGCAAATTTGCTATTTCAGTAGAATAAATATTCAGTGAATAACGTTTTGATGTTTTATGTTTTTACGATATTAAAATTTAAAAATGTTCATAATTTGCTTAACCATTATTATTTTCAAGTAAGGGAATAGGTCAATTTATTATGCATCAGGGTTTAAAGTTTAAACTGAGAAAATATGAGTGACTTCCTTTTAACATCTTAGCCTTTTTAACTTACACAATTTAATAATATGAAATGGTATGAATATAATAATTTGTCCAAAAATTAATTAATTAAATTAGTTTTTTTTCGATTTTACTATAAATTTTATAAGCATCCATCCTTCAAGGCGACTATAACGTAAGTGGTGTCCAGATATCTTATTTGGTTGACATGTGCATTCAAACTCATCAAATTTAAATTGTCATCACTGGGTGGCTTCTTACATCAACATTTTATTATACATGATTTTCTACTTTTAGCCTATATTTTTATTGTGTTAACAGCTGATACCGATTGTATATCATTTTGAACAAAATATAAGTTTCAGTAATGAATACGTTTGAAATATTTTATGTCGAGTTCCTAATTGTTGTATGTATGATTTTTTGTACATAATTATTCTATTTTTAAATACGTTATTATTGGTAATAGATAATTATAATAAGGACTACCAACTAAGAAAAGCATGATGGTGCGAGTATCTTAAAATTGATGACAATGTTATAAGTTATTTGAGAAAAATATCAAACAAGTACATTGCTATTAGTTGTGTTGTTAGTTTTAATCATGCGTTACTTTTATTCGTTCTTGTATTTATGCAAATGTKAGAAATTTTTTATATACCATCTTACTTTACATGCGCAGCCTGAAAATATTTGCAAAAAAATATGGAATTTATGGAACAGGAAATCACTTGTTGAAGAATCCATTGATTATTTTGATCCAAGACATAAATATTGGTTACAGGTATCGTTCATTCTTGAACACGACGTAATATTAGATAAGCATAAAAAGTATTCTTTTGATCTATCAGATATATTCAGTAYATKATTTTAGCTTCCATACACGCACATTCACGTATTATAATCATATTTATAATATTATTCTGTTATTTTTTTTTTTGTATCCCTACAGTCATTCTAATTTTCTAACTGACCGTTTGTATTGTTAGTGTCCTTCACTATACAATTGCTGACATTATAATAATGAGTTTACCCACATTATTTAATTTGTTTTTATAGTTTTCCATCACACATTTATTTGTGTTATACTGTGAATATTATATTTATGTACCTAGTTTCCTTATGTGCCTATGTAATTTGTATTATTAGTAAACCTTAACATAAACAATTGAATAAAATCAGCACATGCCTTTCCGTTTTATGAATATATATTTCACTATTTCGGTTATAAACTAATATATGTAAAAATATATTTTTTTATTTTTCCCATCCAAAAAACTATAACACGAGGTTTTAAGCTTTGTATAAATTATCTTATTTAATCAACAAATAAATAATATAATTGGTTTATTAAAAAAAAAAAATGTCTCAAGTTTAAGAATTATATTATTTACTTTGTTTAACCAACATTTATGTGAAAGTTAAAATGTTATAAGTGTGTATTAATAAATTAGTTTAAAAATATAATACATATGAACGGAGGTTAGAAAAACTGGTTGTGAACCATATTCAGGTGAGATAATATATATTTCACTTTAATGATGATAGCTGCGTGCGTGTATTTTGTCGACTGTTCTATTTTCTTTTAATCGTAATACAAATATAAGCTATTGTAATTATAATTATGTACAATATTAATACCCGTGAAATATATGAATCTAAGAAATTACTTWATAGTTTTTCTACTTGGTTACGCATTATAAAATTATATTTTGTCCTCACGTAGAACCCGTAGAGGTCACGATCTCGACCTTCGTTATATTTTCTTAATTTTAATTGTAGTCATASCAAAGTGTTGGAAAAGCAGTTATGTTTCCTAAGAAATTCACGTTCGAGTTTTGTATATGTTTAAAACGTACTTTTTTATTCTCGTCACTATTTCATGGCACAAATTTTTTTCAAGGTCAAAAGTTGAATAATGCTAGGTTTTTGATGAAGGTTTTACAAATTTTTCCTGACATATGATTGCCTATTAGATAATTATTCATGACATTTTTATATTTAGCAATTATAGTTGCATATAAATTGATAAGATGTACCTATTAAATTTCAAATAAGCGATATACTGTTTTTCAAAACTTATAAAAATCTTGAAATTTTAAGTATACATATTTTTAAAGTTTTTCTCTTTATTATATAGTAGATTTTTCATTCTTTATATCCTGTGAATATTATAGTTTTTTTTATTTTGGCTAGATTTCATCACTCACTTACTAGTCTTATACATTGTAGTAAAAGGCTATAAAATGAGACAATTGATCAAAATGTAAAAAAGTATATATATTCAAAAAAAAAAAATCAACTTAAATTAAAAGCCACACCAGCATTTGTTGACTTCGTCTTACAGATACGTTAAGATAACATTTAGGCACAAGACTACAAATTTTACGGTTGTGTTTGGTTTGTAGGTCGGATAACTCGATACTTGAATTTTTTTATTAAGTTTCAAGCATGTATAATGTTGAAAATTAAAAATTTAAACATCTTAAAAACCGACGTACAAACATAGATTATGTGTTTGATAGTAAGTACTTATTAYTTATAATTTTTAAATTCATAGCTAACGAAGTTAAACGTGAAATACTGAACGTAAATTTACTATGATATGCATTTGTGACTTGTACACTATCTATCTAAGACAGATCGTGGCACAACAAATGTGGGTGTGGCGTCCACTTAAGAATTAAATAATATCAGCAGGTGATGTATATATAGTACATTTGTTGACTATTATTAGTTACACCCGTATATTAAATTCGTGTAGTGTTATGCTTATGACTATCTAAAAAAAAAATGAATATTGCAAAATCAAAATCAAAAATACGATGTATAGGAACTCTGTTTATTATTACAAATATAAATATATCACAAATTAGTCAGGAAATATTTTTGAAATTTTACATTCTTTTATTACACATTTTTATTTTTACCTACAAGTACAATGTTTTACGTTTTCTTGTATTATTAAATTACTTATTAGTTATTACACTTTGTGAGGATTACCTACAGATTTCTTCATTATTCAACATTTAACAAAATGGATATGACATAATATCGAAAAATATTTTTGCTCTTTAGAACTTTTGTAATTTACTGAACATTTATACATTAGTATTCGTACTGTAATATTAATCTTCACTAATACATTTTTCTTTATTGGAATTTACTTTATTGGCCATTTGTGATATATTATATTTAGGGATCATCGGAGTAACAAGATAGTAAATTATTCTATATTGCGTTTTGCGTATTCACATTCTATGGCGTATTTATTTAAGGCTYCTTTTTATAATAGTATTAATTATGCCGCGAAAGATCTTTCCTAATTCCTCAAAAGATTTGTAATATTTTGCAGTAATTTAATTTTTTATGTTGATATATTACAATTTAAGTAATTAACCATATTTATATAGATAAAATTGAATTGCCGTTCAATTTTCTTGAAATTTTTATTTTGTGTACCTCTAACAATAATAGAAATTAGTTATATAATATTATGTGGTATAAAGTATAACTATCTTTTAATAATTATTGCCATTGATTTTCGTAGCATGTATTATTTTTAACTGATAAGTTATCGAGCCATTTAATCGTGATTTATWATTTGAATTTGCACATTATATTACTGTTAATCAAATACATTATACTTTATTAATTAATTATTTTATATCTTAAGGTCATGAGCCAAGATGTTAAGAAGGAAAACCCACTTCAATTCAAGTTCCGAGCCAAATTCTATCCTGAAGATGTCGCAGAAGAACTTATACAAGATATTACTTTGAGATTATTTTATCTACAGGTAATATTTTAGATAGATAGTACCCMTTATGAATAACACTAGCATAAAATAAATAATTATAGAAATATCAAATTAACCAAGTAAAATACTAGATAATTCTTAAAGTTTATTAGTGCTTATCATACTAATGAAGTAATGAGTAATAATTATATTCCATATGTAATTCAACTAACTCACTTTTTCCGAAAATAATAATAATAATAATTGTTCTGTTAAAAGCTCTATTAATTATTGTATTTATTTAAACTATAATAACGATATTATTTGCTTTGAACAATTATGATCAAATATTAAAAAAATTGAAATGTAATTTATGACTATTTGTGAAATGTATAGATAAGATTATACATTTTTTTGTTAAACTATTTAATTGGCAAAAATAACCTCCTTAGTTATGATTCATGAGGTATAGTTGCAAAGAACATATTTTTGTAGTTATTGGTAATTCTAGAAAATACTACAAATATTTGTTTTTTAGATATTATTTCTAATAATTCATGCAGTATAGATATAAAACAAAATGCTCACGTATAATTTTTAAATTTTAAATTTGAATACATTTAATAATACATTATATTATTAATGATTTAATTATTAAGATAATTAAATATAAATTAAAAAATAAGAAAACAGCTAGGTTAGGAATATTAATAAAATCCTGAAAGATTTGGGTATGWATAATTATTAATTGGCACACTAATTAATTTAGAGTAATTAATATTTTGGTTCTATGATAATTTGATACATGTCATGTACAATAGAAGAAAGTACAATCATAAAGCGTGCATTGAGTGAAAATGCACGCACTGCTCAAATTTAAGTTATTATTTGGAATTATTAGGTAAATAATCAGAAAATGTAGGGTGCATAACACTTCGTTTTCACCAATAATGACAATATTACCGTATATCTGCTATAATAATARAATTGATTGTAAATACTATTTATAATTAATGATTATCATACTCTTTTTCTTATATTGTTAAAAATTATTGCCTTAATGTCAATCTTTAAGTGTAATTTTTAAAATTCAAAAATATATTCTTTGACTTAACATTTGTATTAACTACGTAACAGAAATTGTCAATCAGCTAGCAGATTTAAAAGTTCAACAATTCACTTAAATTTCTTAAAATAATATTACCTACAAGTAAATTAATATATTATCATAAATAAGACAACTTTGTCTGTGTTCGGTTGTTTTTGTTTAAAGTTTTTTTTTATTTTAAACCAAGTTTTACGTAAACAGTTAAAATTAAAATTGGACATAACTCTTATGAAATTGAAAAGTCAAAAATTAGGAAAGCCTCCGAATACTTACGTTATTGATCTTAAATTGGCTTATATATTTTCTCTTATATTAAATTCAACAAAATAAAACTTATTTAACTACTCAACATACATTTTCTTTTAATAAGTTTGGATATGGTATTATACYAGCTTTGCATATGCGCGGCTTACTTAAGAATGTCTCCAATCACATCTTGGGGAATCTGCTTCAAACAAAATTTTAATTGTTCATTTTCATAAAAATCTTCAACAATATTTAAAATGAAAATTTATCTGTCATTAGTTTTTTTGTGTTATTGAAGATAGATGCTATTAATTTGTTTTTTATTTATTTTTGTAATTTTTAATCTTAAAAATCTATCTTATTTCTCAGGTGAAAAATGCCATTTTATCTGATGAAATTTACTGTCCATCAGAAACATCTGTATTACTTGCTTCATATGCTGTTCAAGCAAGGCATGGTGATTTCAACAAACTCACTCACACTCCTGGTTTTCTTACTAACGATCGTTTGTTACCACAACGGTAAATTGTTAATAGTAAATTTATAGTTATACATTTAATTGAATATGAACATAATTTTAGTGTTATGGATCAACACAAAATGACACGTGAAGAGTGGGAGTCTAGTATCACTACATGGTGGCATGAACATAGAGGCATGATGCGAGAAGATGCCATGATGGAATATTTGAAAATTGCCCAAGATCTTGAAATGTATGGAGTTAATTACTTTGACATTCTAAACAAAAAAGGAACTGAATTATTTTTGGGTGTTGATGCCCTAGGTCTCAATATATATGAAAAGGATGATAAGTAAGAAACTTAATCAAGATTTAATWTTATTTTATTTTTAAACATTTATTATTCTAGATTAACTCCAAAGATTGGCTTTCCTTGGTCTGAAATCCGTAATATTTCATTTAATGATAGAAAGTTTATCATAAAACCTATTGACAAGAAAGCTCCTGACTTTGTATTCTTTGCACCACGTGTTCGTATTAACAAGCGTATTTTGGCTCTTTGTATGGGGAATCATGAATTGTACATGAGGAGACGTAAACCTGATACTATTGATGTACAGCAAATGAAAGCCCAAGCTAGAGAAGAAAAACTTGCCAAACAACAACAAAGGTATTTAAAATTATTTTTGTATAACGTAACAACCTACATTTAAGATAAAACTATTTTAGAGAGAAACTTCAACTAGAAATAGCTGCCAGAGAAAAAGCTGAAAAAAAACATCAAGAATATGAAGAACGCTTAAAAGTCATGCAAGCAGAAATTTCTAAACGTGAACAAGATTTGCTGAGTGCTCAAGTACTGTATATTATATTATTWTATTACTCTAAATGTATATGAGCCTAATWATTTTTTTTTAAATATTAGGATATGATTCGTCGTCTGGAGGATCAATTGAATAAACTTCAACTGGCTAAAGAAGAACTTGAGCAAAGACAAAACGAACTTCAAAAAATGATGGAACGTTTAGAAGAATCAAAGAACATGGAAGCAGCTGAAAGAGCTAAATTAGAAGAAGAGATCAAAGCTAAACAAGAAGAAGTAATGCGTATTCAATCTGAAGTTGAAACTAAAGATGAAGAAACAAGACGTTTACAAGTAAGTAAATTAATATATATTATATATATATATATTTGTTTTTAATTGATTATTTAAAGTGGTATAAATTCAACCTAACTAAATAGTAAATTTATTAAAATTAAAATAAATATTTCATTTTATATTGAATACATTACTATGTTCAAATTTGATGCTCAATTTTAGTTATACAGTATAAAATTTAATTTAATATCCTAGACTWCACTATTACAGTCTTCATTTAAAATGTTTTAAGTTAAACTTTTTATTAACTAATACAATCAATACATTAATTTAATTGATAATAATTTTTTATTTAATAGGAGGAAGTTGAAGAGGCAAGACGTAAACAGGAAGAGGCTGCAGCTGCTGCACTTGCTGCTGCTGCAACCCCCAAGCATCATCATGTTACGGAAAATGAGAATGAGGATAATGATGAAATGGTCAATGGTCATGAAACACAAGATTTAGACACTGATATGGATATTGTTGATCCAGTTGAGGAACGCCGTACCCTTGCTGAGCGCAATGAAAGACTTCAAGATCAATTAAAAGTAATAATATTATTATTACTTTTAATTGAAATATGATGTAATTTTTCTTATTTTTTGAATTTATAGATGTTAAAACAAGACTTAGCTCAATCACGAGATGATACCAAGGAGACTGCCATGGATAAAATTCATCGTGAAAATGTGCGCCAAGGACGAGATAAATATAAGACTTTGCGTGAAATTAGAAAAGGAAACACAAAACGCCGAGTTGATCAGTTTGAAAACATGTAAACACATGCTCATACTGTACAGGGTAGTTATTTAATTTGTATAAGCATAAAAAGCCTGCAAGTCCAAGATCATTTATGTGTCTAGAGTTACAAGATCATTTTAAATCTTGGTCTGTAATTATGAATATTATTAAATTACTATTTATTAAGGTTGTAATAACAAAAATGGTTGAACAAGTTATGTAAAATTTTTTTTTTAATTTAGTTAGTTTTTATCAAATTTATTATTTCCTTAAATTTTAAGTACCTTTATTTATTGAAGTATGATTTTATTGTTTAGCATAATAGTTGCTTATAATAAAATTATATTTATGTGCCCAGTAAAATGTAATCATGCACTCAAGCAGGACATCATATTACTAATTATTTATCACTCCTTTCACATTCCAAAAACAAAGGGAGTGGGCACTTTATTCTTTCTGCTCAATATCTTTGTCTTAAATAAAAACACGAACAATATTTAAAGCCTAACATTATTTTATTATCATTATTATTATTATTGTTATACGATTATTATCTTGATTTATTTATTACTATACGTTTCTTTTATTATTATAATTAACATTACAAAAGCTTTGAAACAATTAATTATAATTATTTTATAATAAAAAATGATTCTATTTTATGGTCTTTTATAGACCAGTATTATTTATGATGAAAAACGTATTCGTATTCATGTATACTTTATTATTATTATTTTTTTTTTTGTCAAGTTAGTATGCTACATGTTTACTTATTAATAATTATTATTATAAAAAATACATATTATTATTAATATATATTTTTCCAAAAAACAAAAATCAAATTTAAAAAAAAATGTGTTCTTATTTTAATTTTTACAATTGACTTTCTTTCAATTTTTTATCAAGAATTAATTTATTTAAAAAAAATTTTCAACTGGTCATCATGACATGAACTCTAATWACAGTGATGAAATTAAAATGAGGAAAGTTGTGAATTTTCCACATGTTTGAATTTCAGCTCAGTTGTTTATGAAACGACAATTTTTATATTTTCATGGAAATGAAGTAATGATGTAATGTATTTTAAGTATCTACAGTTATTTGTTTTCAAATTTTAACAAAATATCTAAAATCAATTAAAAAGTAGTTAATTTGCCAAATAATTGGCCAATATTAATTTTTTTAATATCAAAAAAAAAACATGAATTTCAAATGCTCATAAAAATTATGTGATCACTAAACTTCATTTTTGTTAAATATTCATGCTGAAACACTATTAAAAAGACTAGATACCCTTTATTAGCGTTACCTTTCCACCAACCCTTTTATGCTAACAAAATAAACCATAAGTCACTAGTTGCTARGAAGGTACTTAATTCACCACTACTGACTGGTATTGTTTAAACTTTAAAAAAAAAATAACACCAGTTAAGTTGGTATTTTATTAAATAAATTTATTTATAAACAAACATAACTTAATATACTTTTTATTGATTTWAAGGATATATTAAAGTAATAACTTAAGAATCTGTGACTAAAAATAATTTAAATCTGTATGTGCTGAACATCAAGTTATTTGCTTCRTCTGAACATTCTGACTGTAAAAATTGGCTAGGATACATGGTGCCAAAAATACACTGTAAAAAAATTATTATATAACCATTATATCATTTGAAAACATAGGCTTGATATTATTGTTATACTTTAGTTGCAACCACAGCTCGTTTAACATTTTTAACAATGTATTCGTCCAAAACATCTAAATTGATTGGATCAATTTGGTTTTCAACTACTGATATTTGCTTTGAACAGATTTCCAATAAACCCTAAACACATAAAAAGTTTTTTGTCAACATATTTTAAGTTCTTATGACATATCATTATAATTACTTGATTCTCAACGCCAATTAAAAGCTGATTGATGTACTTAAGATCAAATAATTTTTGTATCTGATGTCTAGATTTCAATGATGTTTCAAGTTCACTATTATTCTGATATTCGTTCAATATCCATTCAGTACACAAAGCAATGGTTTTCTCCTGAACAAATCTAAATGTAATAATATGCAACAATAGAAATAATGTTAGTGTTAAACAAAATATTAAATAAAATAGTTTCAATAATTACTTCGGTGGTAATGTCAAAGCTAGACAACTGATTATATCGTGAATGAAGTTTTGCAATGGAAATGTGGGTTGGTTTGGAACTTGTAGTTTGGACACAACTAGTTCCCCACTTTCTTTCTCTACCTCTATGTCTAAAACATCCCACTTCTAAAAAMAAAACAAGTAAAATCATTGTRCTTAGCTCATATTTTGAATTATTTTTATTTATTTTACTGGAATTGTAGATAGTTGTTCTCCAAGTGTAATTGGAAAAATATTTCCTTTTAAACCATCGAACATTCTTTTAGTAACTATTTCTATCCATTTATTCCAAACAACTATCGAGGAATTTTGTATTTCTTCTTTTGATATTGTCCAAAAATTAAACTAAACAAATAATATAAATTATATACCAAAGTATTTAAGATGATTACAAATCAAYAATATTAAATATTCTAAGGTATTTAGAACTTTTTATAACTTGTTTGAAAATTTGACATAATATGATTGTATAAATAATTAAATATTATTAAGTTACAACTWCATTTTAGAAAAATTAGGAATTTATATGTTCTTATTTATAATATCTATTGAGTAAATTATTTTCTACATTGTTCATATAACTAAACATTAGCACCCAAGTTATAAAGGCTTCCCATTTCCCACAGAAAATTCCAACTCGTGTTTCTTCATTATTATTCTCTAATGGGCCCATTAAATGCTCGTGACTTTCTATCCAATATTAATAACCTATTTTACTGCATACTTTATAAAGAGCATTCCCTGTTTATTGTCTTYYCACTCTACTCTTGTGCACATTCTTGGTTAATTYTACAAATTTTAAGTTTTCACTTGTGGCCTTTAATTGTAAGTTGGATTAACTTGATAGGTTTGATTTGATATTTAATTCATTGACAATGAGCTTGAATATTTTTTCATTATGTATTATGAATAATTAATTTAAATAAATAATATTCTCATTGCTATTATGTACAAATGGCCTGTTTAGGCATTAATAAACAAATAAGTTTAATTTTATAAGAATTAAAAATTATAATACATAAATAAGAAAAAATATTTTGAGTAAAGTAAAGAACTTAATGTTAGTATTTATTAGTTAAATAAATAAAATATTTGAATTATTATTGCTTTATATGTATCAATTGGGAATATGATACTTTCAAGCTAGAATGGAAAAAAGATGACTAAAAAGTGAAGTGACATTTCCCCAATAATACTAAACACACATGTTAAATAACATTGTCTCAATATGTCTTACCTGTTGGTATAAGGATACTAAACATTGTTTTAACGTTGTACATAATATTGGCAAGAACCATAAAAATCTAGCTATTAACAATATTCCAGGTTCAGTTAATGTGTCTTGTTCAACTAATTGTACCATACTTTTTCCCAATCTAAAAATATAATAATCACACGTTTCTATTCTATTATTTTAYATGAGAAATCTAAGAATTAAGTTCAATATTTATTATTTTTTACCTAATAATAAAGTTGTTACAACAACTTCCTTGATGTTGCCTCAAGGCCCATGGATCATCATCTTCAGAGTACAATTCACTTAACATATCTATCAATAATGAAACCCTTCTTTCAACACATGCACACAATGCAGCTGTTCTATCTGAACAACCTTTTGAACGAGTTTCGAAACATTCATCTGTATCAGAAAATAAACTATCTTGCAAGTAAGGTTCTTCTGGCCTGAAATAGTACAGTAGTTATACAAATGCATTTTTTTATTTTCATGTCTTACTTTATCAATGCATTGTTAATATCTGAAATGATTACTGGAAAAACCTCTTCCCAATGAGTGGTTAACAGCTCTTTAGTTCTTTGAGCAAATAGAGGACAGTATAATTCAGACCACAAGTCAGACTCAAATGAAATTTGTTCAGATATAGCTGTCCAGTGTTGAGGGTATTCCTGATAAGAAAAATGATAATTAATAAATAAAAGATTATTATTTTTTACTTCCTTACGGTTGACAACTGATTTAAGTGACGAAGAGTTGCAAAAGACTGAACACTTTGTAGAATTTCTGTGACTTTGGAACTAACAAATGGTTTTGCCCATACTAACCAATTAGTTACAATGTTAGTTATATATTCTTGTGATAATTCATTGGGAGTTAGCGTACAATCAATTCTAAATTAAATAAATTACAATCAATAGAAAATATCAGACAAACTGTCAGATTACATACTTGAATTCCTTAATAGAATTTGGTAAATATATAAGTCCAAATTTCAATGAATAATCCAAATCAACTAATGATAACACATWTGGTCCATTATTCAAAATGTTCTTAATTTGTAGGTATATCATTCCACTATTATAAAGATCATAGTCTAAAGAAAATGTATTAGTATAATGTATTAACAAACATTTTGGCAAAATATTGTAGCATACAACATTTTTTAATCATAAATTGCAGTAATATTATTAAAAAACAAATAACAAAATTAATAATATTTCTTAATATATCGATAATYTTACTTGTAAAACATAAATATAAATTGTAAATAGTATTTATAATTAAATTACAACTGTTTTCAATATTTTTTTCAACTGAACTTCCTTCTGTTAATGAGTGTTGTAACATGTTTGAACGTAATATAATAAATTCTTTAACTAAAGAATGAGCATCTAATTTATCTAATATTGATAAGCTTATAAAACAACATGCGGCTTTCTGTGTAATAAAATATAAGTTCAGTAAATACAATGAAAATAATAATTTGTTATATTACTTCAGGTGAAATGTGACCAGACAATTCTAGTTTTGTTTTATCAGATATTGTAATTTGAAAATGAGATATTGTAGACCAAACCCTATCCAAAAATGGTTTACCTTTCTTAAGCCCTTTAGTTAAATCTTCATTCAAACCTAAAAATAAAAATATATCTTAATGAAATTGACTTGTCTAAAATAGTTAAATAAATTTAATAATTATTTATCAACTTTAATTTATAATATTTAACATGCTATTTTATTTATATTACACTTAGTGATAATCTTTTTACTTGTTTTAATGCATGAAGCAAACTTAAACAATTGAGTAGCAGTTAAATAATTTCTCGAGTTCAAACAATCCCATATTTGTTCAGTTAAATCAATTAAAAGTTTTGATTGAGCAGCAAATTTATCAAGTAAATTGTTTTTGCTAAAGAATAAAAACATATAAAATTAATTGTTTTAAAGGTTTAAGCTGATAATTACCTATCTAAAGCTGTATTAGGATTAGTTTGGTTTGTCTTTAAAATATGTTCGGTTACATTTGTTATGTCACAAACTATATTTGCCATAGAACTGATTGTGTCTGCTGCATCAATGAGGTCTCGGTATTTTTCACTGTACATAAAACATTAAATTAAAAAACTTATAAAGTAGGTATCTTTCACTCTTCTTAAAAATATATCTGTACAAACCTTACTAATGATTTTAGCTGGTCTGCCTTTTTCTCTACATCTTTTTTTAAAGAACTTTGTAAAGATTCGATTTCAGCCAAGTTACATGTCTCAAACAAATCATTAGCAAACTCGAAGGCGTTTTTCGTTGGAAATTTTGTGTCCATTTTATTTACATCTAGTTTATCTCTGCAAGGTAATAAATAATAACTATAGGTATGTATGTCATAACACTAATGCTGGTAGTCTGAATGGATTTTATTTCGAATTAATTATAGGTACTGATTGTCATTTGAACTTTAAAGGATAGAACATTGAAAAGCCAYTATAAATTATGTACTCATTCACTGACTTACAAGTAACAGACCAACTGAACACTGGCAAACTAACAAGCAACCGGGAAGCCAAGTTCCAAGTGGCAAATTAAGTTGGATTTTGATAAGACTTGTTTTCATGATAAGTGATATTTGTGTTATGTAGTTGTACCTATCATAGAAAAGAGATTAGTGTAGTATCTACTATCTCATTGTATTATTATAAATAATAGCAGTAGGTGCTTGTATCGAAATATTTGGTGATTGTTAGTTATATTGTTATATTTAATTCTACATATTATAAATAATTATGTACAATTACAAAATTATATCAATTATTTAGCAACTTACTGTCCTACTGAAAACATTGAAGTTTTGATTCTAAGGCCTCGCGTCTTTTCTTTGACAATAATTACTATTCAACAAGTCCAAAAATGGTTTTAGGCCCATTGGACCATTCCGTTCAAACAGATATTATATTTGTTATAGAGAAAACAGCCATGAACACTTATATCAGTGAACTTAAAACAAATTATGTGACTCCGACATTAGAGTAAGTTATTATTGAATTTTTACTCAATCTTAATTATTAATTGTTACTATTGAAGTTTATTATATGTATATATGCACTAGTGCACTACACAATTTGAAACTTATTTTAATTGAGTGTAATTATTCTTATTTTATAAAGATACTTTAACCAAGGACCTATTGAAGAACGAGAGTATTTGTCTGAAGTAAGTATTATTCAAATGTTTAATAGCATTATATTTGATTGTCAATCATTAACCAATATTTATGAATATTACAGAGTAGTAGTGCAATTTATGGTATTGTAGTTTATGAAGCAAATGATTGTAAGCCATATCCATGTTGTCGTACTTATGGAACATTCACTAGCCCACAAAAAGTCATAAAAATGATTGAAAAAATAGAGTAAGACTTTATTCATATCATAATGGTATTATATATTTATTTTTTAATTATTTTTTCAGTATGATTGGTGGTATGGCAGAATCCCATGCTTATATGGGTGAAGGTTTAGCAACGGCCCTGGTTTTCTTTGAAGACTTGCAAGAAATCCGTGAAGCTAAACAAAGACATTGTATTCTCATATGCAATTCACCACCTTATAATTTTCCAATCATGGAATGTGAAACATATGCTGGTCGTAGTGTTGATCAGATGGCTAATCTCTTTCAAGAAGTATTATATTTTTTTTAGTTAATTACCTTTAGAAGTATGTAATTATTAATTCTTTAAATATTTATTTGTGTGTCTTAGAAAGGAATTTTACTCTCAATTTTATCAGCTAGAAAAACTCCTGCATTATTAAAATTATTTGAAAAAGCTGGTGGTGATTTACAAATTTCTCAAAACAAAAACTATGCAAAAGATCCAAGGCATCTAGTTTTACTCAATGGATATAGGTGAGTTTATTGCATTAATTAATTCATTAATGTTACCCAAGCAAATTATCTAAAACATAAGTAAATCTTGATTGAAGTGTATTAAAATTAATAAAATTAGTCAATATAAGTTACAGTTTTATTTTCATTTTCCAATGATATGTTCTGTATTCAATTTTAAAGGTAACAGGAAGTATTTTGAACRCATCACTTTGAGTTTGATTTGTGGTTTTTGTACTGCCTACAAGACATATAAATACATCTGTTTTTGACAAATTCTAATTTTTAACTATTTTTATCGGAGCATGTGCATTTAAATAAAAATTTCTTAAGTAGGAACCACTATTTTTGAGACTGGATTTGGATTGCTTTATTTTTTTCTGAGCAACTTTAATATCTGCAGTTTTTTGATATCTTCAAAATTGAAATTTTTAGGACAGTCAAAAGTTTTGAATTATATGATTTTTTTTTTTTCCAAGATGATGGGAGCTATAATATAATATGGGAGAATACCTTAACCAAACTTTTGGCCATAAATGGAGTCCAGTACAATGCCCCTCTAGATCATCTGATATAACACTATTGAACTATTTTTTTATGGGAACATTTAAAAACAGTTTAAAACTTTCAACTGTCCTAAAAATTTTAATTTCAGAAAAAAATAAAGCAATCCATATCCAGTTTCTTAAATAGTGGATCCTATTTAAGATATAAATAGTTAAAAATTAGAATTTATCAAAAACAGATGTATTTATATATATGTATTTAGATTTATTTATATTTTTATGCCTATAGGCAGTAAAAAAACTTAGAATCCAACTCCAATAAGAGATACGTTCAAATTATTTAGTGTAACCTTTAAAATTGAAAATACCATGTGTTATCATTAGATTGCCACTGATTTTATCTCTCACATGTTATTCACATAGTATTTTATATTTAACACAGTTTAAAATGGTATATTTTTTAATTTAATGTTTATTTTTTGTGCCTAATACAAGAGTAAATCATAGATTAAAAAAGGGACTCTTAAAAAAAATTATTTTTAAATATTAGCAGAGCAAATAATACAASAAAATCATATATTTTTTTGCAAATAACTATTCATAAAATTACTATCTTATTTCCATATTAAAATTCCAATAGTATTATTATCTTATACAACTTTAACATACACTATAAAATACATAAATACTACTTAATAAGTATTAATTAGTGAATATCACATATTTTCAATCCTCCACATTTCTTTGAATAATAATTCTTCTAAAACAAACCAGATTTTTTAAATAAATATTTAATAGTGAACATAATTTTAGTTATTATAATATAATATACAGATTTCCTTTCAAATTGTTACAGTCTAAAAGAGCGTCCAATGAGCCCAACTCCTGCTACAACTCATTCCGGTCTATCTATGACTAGTCCATTGTCTACAAATGTTAACATTGGATCACCAGTTGCTCCATGTGCTCCATTCAGAACTACTAATCCGGTAAGTAATTTCACAGTTGTTCGTTAAAATTTGCYTATACATTAACTACATATTTTTGTAACTTCAAGTTGAAACAAACTTATAATAATTGCATCATTAACTTATTTAAATAAATAATCATTATTCAATCAATTTAATTAAATGAACCTGGCTATGTATACTTAATATTATTTATTATGTTTTATATATGGTTCAATGTAGAGATGTTACGAACTGTTCGATTTTCGAACCAAACCAAATATCTAATAGTTCCATTCAAAAATTGAACCAGAGAAATAAAAATAAAATTCGATGGAGTAACGGCTAAAATTATAAATTATTATTAAATAATTAATAAATAAATAATAGATTAATATTAGTTCTTTAATGTTTGCTTGTTTTAAATATTGATGTTTTTCGCTTTTTCTTATCAGTTAACATCATTTTAATAATTAAAAATTAAAAATTTCATGCATAATAATTATTAACTATTAAAGTATTTAAGTAAATAGTAGTAAAATTGTTATTCAATAATTCTGAGGTATGGTGGCTAAATGATAAATAAATAAATAAACAAATATTAAATAAAATAATATCCAATTTAACTTTTAATGTTCGGTTCGAGTTCGATAAAATATTTGAAGAGTTCGTTACAGTTCGGGTTCGATTAAAAGTGTGTAGGTTCGGATCTATTCGACCTTAAATATTATGGTTCGTAACATCTYTTGTTCAATGGTACTTATTGAAGTTTTAATTGTAAATGGAATATGAAACTTGAAATATTTATAGCTTTAACCCAAAAAGTGTTGAATCACAGTCAATCAATATACATATTTATTGCTTTGATAGTTTGATCTAAATCTCAAAAGAAAATACATTCCTCCAATATGGGAATYCTTGACATTAATATTAATTCCAAATCCAGAAAAACTAAAGCATTTAGTAACTTTATACCGCCTGACAAGTTAACTACTGACTTTAGGGAAACTTTTTGAAAACTTACTTAGAAGAATAATCCCTATTATCAGAGAAAAAAACATCATTCTAAATGAGCAATTTGAATTCYGTTCATATCACTCGATTATCCACCAAATATATAGAATCACCGACAAAATATCTTCATCATTCAAAAAAAAAGAGCATTGTCCTGTTGTATTCCTTGATATAGCACACGCATTGTATCTGGCACGACGGACTATTTTTCAAATTAAAATTGTTTCTACCGGTTCCATATTTCCTCATTCTAAAGTCTTATCTCAAAAATCGATATTTCATTGTCAAACATAAGAGTATTWATTTTGAGTATTTTAAAATTTACAAACAATTTAAAATTTTAAAACTCACATAACTCGCTTTAAAATTAAAATTGAATAAAAAACTTGCGAGAAATCCTCAATAATAATRTAAATTTTAATTTTATAACTAACGGAGCTAAACAAGATCTGCTGAGCTTAAAATTTGGTATGTTAGGCACTTGTAATACAGAGACAACACATGCAGATGTAGCATCCTCATAACAATTCTTGCTCTCCTTAACCTCATTACCATAAAATCATTGAGAGAGTTCCCCAAAGAAGTGAACTATCACCTATACTCTATAATATTTACACATCAGATAACCCCAAAAGGTCAAAACAAATCACAGAAGTCTAGTAGCATATGCAGACAGTACAACTATACTGACGTTAATTTAAACAAAGGCCCAAACATAGCAACCTATGATATACATTACTAGAGGTTGGATTTTTATGATTTTACATATTTGTTTCTAGTCTATGCAGTTAAATAGTAGTGAGAAATCTTTACGATTCATGAAACACAGAATTCATAGGAAAAAATTTATTTTGCATAAAAAAGCATATTTCTTGGGTTAGAGAATATTTGAAAATATTTTTGTAATATCGGCATATAATGAATATATTTCACGTATGTCAGCACTTTGATAAGTATAATGTTCACTAAATAATTCTGTTTATAAATAATTAATTTTTGGGTTTTAATAAAAATTAATCTCCAGGTATTCCTTATTGATTGCGATAGCATGTAGGTTATTTCATTAGCTAAAATAAATTTAAAATAAATTTTTTTTTAATATTAAAAGAATATTTTGCATATTTAAGGACATAAAACATCATATATCTGGTATTTTAAAAGAATATTAAGAGAATATAAATCCGACCTCTATACATTACCATTTAAATCAAATTTACAACTGGACAATGAAATGGAAAATTAAGATAAATGAAAATAAATTTTTCTCCAATTAAATTGGAAGTACTGTTGATGGATAGTTTCTTCCTTCAAGCCAATCATTTTATATTTTTATTACTATTATTTTCCAATTTACTTATTGTGCTTTATGTATAGATTGTAAATATAGCTTTTTTTAAATCAAAAAAAAAAAATAAAGTGATAAAATTGTAAAAAATTGTTTTTTGGTTAGGTTTTGGTTATGCAGAATCAGGTTCAACAACAACAACAACAACAACAACAACAACAACAACAGCAGCAGCAGCAGCAGCAGCAGCAGCAACAGCAGCAGCAACAACAACAACAGCAGCAGCAGCAACATCAACAACAACAAGCCGTTCAGGCAGCCCAACAAGCGGTAGCTGTAGCTCAACAACAACAACAACAACAACAAGTACAACAACAACAACAACAACAGCAGCAGCAGCAGCAGCAAATGATTCGTAATGTAAATCAAGGTCAAAACCAGCAATACTCAAATGTTTCAAATTCTGGTGGTTTCTTGAGGCCTCCTCAAGCACCTCGTAGTTGGCAAATGATGCAAACGCAACAGCGTCAACCAAATCAAGCGAGTGCGTTAATTGCGCAGTTAACAACTCCTTCATTCCAACAAAGATTAGATAGTAAGTAAAATTTTAGATTATAAATGTATTTATTTATTTATGAGTTAGGGAAACAKTAGGTCAATTGGACGTGATATTAGTTACAGTAATTACTTGATGAATGGTAATAAAATCTAATTCCTTTAAACAAATTAAAAATGACTTGATTTTATAGATTATCATTAATCATTTATGATTTAACATGCACTTAAATATTTATTGTTTATTTGAAAACAAATTCCATAAGCTTAATCAAAACTTAAAAAAATTTTAAGTGGCATCMCAACAACAAGTACAACAGCAGCAACAACAACAAGTTCAACAGCAGCAGCAACAACAAGTTCAACAACAGCAACAAGTTCAACAACAACAGCAAGTTCAACAACAACAACAACAGCAACAAGCCCAACAGCAGCAGCAGCAGCAACAGCAGCAGCAAGCACAACAGCAGCAGCAAGTACAACAGCAGCAAGCACAACAGCAGCAGCAAGTTCAACAACAGCAACAAGCCCAACAGCAGCACCAAGCACAACAGCAACATCAACAGCAACAACAAGCTGCTCTACGAATCATGAACCAACAGCAGCAACAAGTTCAACAACAACAGCAGCAACAAGTATTTTTGTTGATTGTTAATTAAATAAATAAACCATGTTTTAATAAAATATTTCATTGTTGTAGAATGGACCTGGCAGACAAACTATTTGGACGGGAACATTAGAATGGATAGAAAAATCCAAGCCTTTAAACGAAATACCAAAAATAACAAGAAACGTCCCTTGTATTGTTTCAGCCAGTATAAAAAATGGAGAACCGGAACTGTAAAATTCCTACTGCTAATTGAATACTTGGAAAAAAATGTTCTTACATTTATTTTTTAATATTTAGAAAAGCAGAAACATGGCCTGAAAAATTAATCATGCAATTGATGCCCAAAAATTTAATAGGAAGTATTGGAGGTGCTCATTTGAAAGACTCAAAATCTGTAGTTTTCCAACCAACACCGTGTGAAGCATTAGAATCTTTAACAAAGTACATGACTAGTGGATATGTAAGTTTTTTAGTACCTGAAGAATATCCTATTTGTTTAATCATACAATTTAACTATTTAAAGGCTGGCTGTGTACATTTTAACAGTGCTCCAACTTCTCATAATTGTGATGTCAAAGTATTAATTTTGCTTTATACACACGATAGAAAAGCATTTATTGGTTTTATCCCAAACGATCAAGCAGCATTTGTAGATAGACTACGTAAGCTTATACAACATCAAAAAGCTTCTTCAGCCATATTACGTCAAGGCCAGGTAAGATTTTTAATTACATTTCTATATCATATATTGTTGGTCTTATTCATAGGCGTGAATGGGGGGG